AAAGGCCGATGAAAATACCGAAAGGACAAAAAAAAGAAGAAAAACCCCATCTAAAAGGCCGAAAATGCGAGCGGAAAAATAAAAAAAAATCCGAAGGAAGCGTCCTGAGCATGACACGTGGCGACGGCTGAGAACGCGCCAAATGGCGTGCTCCCAGCCCACCCCAAGTGACCCTTGGCGATGCTCCCGAACGAGCGCTCCTCAAATAGTTGCTCTTGGGATAAATAACATGTTTTAAGTGGACTAGAATAATGCATGTGCGCTGCAACGGGATATAACTATCCTAGTAAGTTAGCTTGTCATTTATCTGTCAATAATAATGTGATTGTGTAAATAAATGTTCGTCAAATTTTGATCATGAATTACCTTATATTTTGATTGGAAGTTTGGTACTCTCTCTGTTCATTTTTATAAGACCTTGAAGACATTTCAAACAATGTGCAAAACAACTTATTTTAAGTTGTCTAAAATGACTTAGAAAAGTGAACGGAGTGAGTAACGGAGGGTGTAAGTAAATTAAAATGAACTTGGTTTAGAAAGGAAGTAAATTAAGGTGATTGATTATCATATATATGAAAGATTGGACGAAGGGATGGTGGAAATAAAGATGAAATGAAAACCTTACGTTTTTGTAAGTAGTAGAGATAATAATGCGATTGTGTAAATAAATATTCATCAAATTCTGATCATGAATTACCTTATATTTTGATTAGAAGTTTAAAGTAAATTAAAGTGGAATTGGTTCGAAAGATAAGTAAATTAAGGTGATTGATTATCATATACGTGAAAGGTTAGACGAAGGGATGGGGAAAAAAGGTGAAATGATAACCTTGCGTTCTTTTTAAGTAGTACAACTAATAGAGAAAAATTCCTTATTTGACACTGTCTTAAAATCTGGTTCCTTATTTGACACTAGAAAAGTTTTTCTTCCCTATTTGACACTAGTCCTAAATTTTATTCACTATATGACACTTCCGTCCATTTTGAGCCTAAATAATACCTGAAAAGACGTTTTTGCCCCTCATGTGGTATGTGTGTTCGCACGCGTGTTTGCTGTTGCGTGTGTGGGTGCACACGCACATGTGTGTTGCTGCTGCATGTGTGTGCATGTGTGCTGCTGCGTGTGTGTTTGCTAATGCGTGTGTACGTGCGCGCGCGTGTGTGTGTTGTTGCGTGCCTATGTGCTGCATGCGTGTGTGCTGCTGCTGCGTGTGTGTGTGCTGCGTGCGTGTGTGTTGCTGCGTGTGTGCACGCGGCCATGTGTGTTGCTGCGTGCGTGTGCGTGTGTGTGTGTGTGTGTGTGGGCATGCGCGCGTGCGTGTTGTTGTTGTGTGTGCGTGTGCATGTGTGTTGGTGCATGTGTATGTGTTGCTGCGTGTGTGCTTCTGCCCTCGCACTGCTGCTACGTGTGTGCGGTATTGTCCCCCACACACATACCACATGATGAGCAAAAGAGTCTTTTCAGGTATCATTTAGGCTCAAAATGGACGAAAATGTCATATAGGAAATAAAATTTAGAACATGTGTCAAATAGGGAAGAAAAGCTTTTTCAGTGTCAAAGAAGGAAGCAGATTTTAAGATAGTGTCAAATAAGGAATTTTCTCCAAGGCAGTCAAACCGGTTCGACGCACTCACATGTGTGGTCGCCGCATCTTCCACTGGTTCATCTTCAGAGCAGATTGAGGTGACAACCTTGGCAGGTCCTCCGCCATCGATGCCACCATGATGCCAAACGACGACCTCCACCTACGCGAGCCTTTGCAGGTCCTCCGCCATTGACGCCACCACGATGCCAGCCGACGACCTCCACCTACGCGAGTCCATCTCCAAGCAACGGACGTAAATCCATGCTAGGATAGGGCCGCACCACCGCCGTCGCTCACCACCCACAAGTGCCACCCAACCCCAAGGTTCCCAAAGCGGCGCCTTCAAGAAGGGAACGACGCCGTGAGCGCCGCCGCTGCCCAACAAAGTTAGGGCTTTCGCCCGGGAGACCTAGGGGAAGGTGAAGTGAGGAGATCAGTCCATGCTGACGCCTCCAAGGAGGGGAACTGCGCCCTCATGCATCGCCGTCGGCGCGGCCGGTCATGACCGACTAGGGATTTTTCCCAAACTAGATCCCCGCCACCAGCAGCGCCTCTTGTACAGAACCGGCGACCAAGAGGAAGCGCGACCCGACTAGGCTGGCCCGCACGCCGAACAGGGGAGGAGGGGAGGCGCCAGATCGCGCGCACCGACCGCCGCAGAAGCCGCCGCCAACCGCCAATGACCACCGGATCCTGCCGCCCGCGCGGCCGGGACACCAGATCCACCCGCCCGCATGGCTGCTAGCCGACCGTGCCTTGCCAATGGAGCCGCCGCTCCAGATCCGGGGTTCCCCACGCAGATGCAGGGCAACCGAGGCCCCGTCGCCACCATCCTTGGCACCCCGGGCTTGCCCGGCGGCTGCCTCAGGCGACGGCGAGGAAGGGAAGAGGGAGGGGGGGTGAGGAGGAGGGGTGGCTAGGGTTGGGAAGACGAGCGGCTGGGGTGGGAGGAGGAGGGGCGGCTAGGGTGGGAGCCTAGATCCCGCCCAAATAAGACCCATACTCTGGTGTTTCAATGTTGTGGGACTTGAGTAACAATGTCAAACACCTTTCATGATCTGTCTCTGTGTGTCTGTGTGATTCTGACTGCGATCCTATGCAAAGTTTCAAGTGGTAGTGTACAAAGCTTAATTTTTTTCAGTTATCTCTGGTATCTGTCGGCATCTCTAAGGAAGCCTTGCAGCCGCTTGAGCTCATCTTTTAGGGACTCCACTTCAAGGGTGACTCCACACAGGAGTGTGGTCTCCTGAATTGCAGGTGTGTTGACATTGCTGAGCATGATGCTATAGGCCGACTTAGCCATTAGTAACTCCTTGTTGTCTCTGGCTCTCAGATCAATCAGAGATAAGTGGATAAAAGAATGCAGATGTGTGTGGCTTAGGATGGCATGGTGTTTGGCTTTTTATTGCTACTTGTTTCCAGCTCGATGACAGAGAAGAGAGCAGAGCATATAGTATATGAAAGATTGGATCTGAGAAAGGAGCATGGCAACAATGCTTTGTTCTCCCGCAGCTAGAACTTCAGGAACCAACCGATATATTATTTTTTAGAATAGAATCTTTCTTTACTGCCACATGACTGCAAGAATAATTAATGAGGAAATTAAACCAAAAAAGCTGCCCTCCATGATGCCATGCTTGAGATGGGCAAACGCTCTTTAATACGTACTATGTAGTTTAGTTAATCTGCAATGCAAAGGTGAGTTGGACCCCCCCTGACTATCTTACATTGTACTCCTATCTTAGCGGAGGATGTAAACTGTCAGCGTTAAATAGAGAGGTATGCTGTTCTCCTGACCATCTTGCACTGCATGTGTGTCATAACGTTTGAGCGTTTCTTGATGTAGTGTGATTACAAGTAGAAGAATCTAGCTAGAGTGTTGTTTGGGATCCTGATGTGTTCATTGGACAATGTTTAATTTTGTAGAGGACAGGGCATTCAACTCTGTTTTTTCAGTATTCTAAATCTGAAGTCTGAATTTTGTATCGCTGATCCGTATATACAGACTTGAAGAAAAATAGGTGGCTTTTGAGATACTTAAAACATACATGTTGCAGTTGATTGACGATGCCGAGCGGAAGCGGTGTGAAAGATTTCCAGAGTTGTCTCAGTTGATCAGACTCAAACAAGCATAAACACAGGTAATTAACCATGATTCAGGGTACATTATTCAAATGTTTACTGCAACCGAATCCCCATAATTTCAACAGAGGGAACAGGAAAAGCAAAATCTGCAACATCTGAGTACATGTAGACGCAGTCGCTCGTTTGTGCAGATTTCAGTCCAATGACCGCGCATCTTCATCATTACAATGGATCTAGGCAACACTGATCTGCACGTATACAGATACCTGCAGGAATCCTGCAGAACGGCAAGAGGAAGGGAATGCCTCCGAGTTAGGAATATACAGTTTAATAATTAATCAATTTTTCTGTATTTAAATTTACTGGCTGACACCTAGAACATGTTCTTAATGCAGCAAACCATTACTTGATTCAGTTAGTGAGTGCTGCACTCGGGAGCAGCTGCTATCTTCTGCTAGTCTGCACTTGGGGTTGAAGCTAGCTCTTGGTTCCTGCGGATATTTTTACATCCATCTCCAGTTTGTAAGGTCAAACTAATTAAACAAAGGAGATAACCCCAAGAAAAATCTGCAGCAGGGGCCATTAAAGCACAGCCATGGCATAGCTATTCTAGCAATAAGAGCTTGCATGACTTCAGGACCAAAAGTTCTTAAACCCATTGAAAACTACTCCCTCCGTCCGGAAATTTCTCTGATAAGTATTTCCGGATGGAGGGACTACATCCTGAAGCACAACTATCAGTCTATCAGATACCTGTCACAACAATACACTTCTCAGAATTACTAACCTAAAAGGGAAGAGGTTCAGAAAAAAAGTGAATTTCTTACTTAAAAACAATAGCAACTATAGTATTATGCAGTTTTAGCTTGCATAATACGAGAATAAGCCAATGTTACTTCAAAATCATGCCTATTCTTCAGACTTTATAGGTGTGATTGTTTTTATCCTTTTTCAGGCAAACGGTTTATAATGTTTTTGCGAATAAAATTGTTACCAACCCCTTTTCAGATATAAATGGTCGATGTTTTGAAGCATGCAGCTGCACATGAGTTCAATATATCATCATCCAAACATGAGAAGCCACACATGAACATCTAACCAATTCACAAGGTAGTACTCCACAATCTTTGAAAAATAAACTTGATGCATCAGCAACCCTAGTATTCATCGATGCATATGCATTTCTTACAAGCAAGTAAAACATGGCTCTGTACAAGGAATAAGCTCCAATTTTTTGGACTGTACATTTTGCACTAGAAATTAACACCTGGAACTGACACTTTTGTATCCGGAAGAAAAAGCAATCAGACCTCTTGACTCTTGTAGGGATTAGCGCCATCTCCGCTGCCGGGGGAGGAGGCATTGCCCACCCTCCCGTGCGGTGCTAGGCTTAGAGTTTGGGGGAGTCGCAGACGGCCGGCGGTGGTGTTGCCGAGGGAGCGGAGGCGTAGGCCAGCCTTTTAGCTCGTCGAGCTCGGGGGAGAGGCGGCCGGCGACCTTGGCATCGGGAATGAAGGTCGGTGTCGTGCAGCGGCTCTCCTGGACCGACTCAGCTCCATCTCATAGACGGCCGACGGCACCGGATGACGAGAAGGCGGTGAGATTGGCATCGGGATGGCGGATCTGGACGGAGGAGCGAGGGGACATTGGAGGGGAGAGGTTGTCGCCCATGGCATCGAAGGGAGGGATTTGAGGATTGGGAGTAAGGGGATGGGTTCGTGAATGAATCGGGAGGGATCTGGCAACGAGGGTCTGGTTGAGGTGACAGATTTTTGACGAGAATAAAGATGAATTCCTCGCGCCCCATGGATCTGCAATCACCCCCTAATTTCCAGCTGCGCAAAAAAACGAGTGACTCATAAGACAATCACAAGCATAGACAACAATGAAAATGAATGGTGTGGCAAATTAACTATGCTTAAGCTGTGTATAAGTATGTATACCTCGCATCCTTTCTGCCACAGCTCCTTTCGTGTGATGTCATCTTCAGAAATCCGGGGCATATAAATCAGCTCCAGGTGACCGAGGGATGGAAGGTGCAGTAACACTTTGGGGAGCTTTCTCATCTTCTCCCACCGCCAAAGTTCCAGGTGAAAGAGCTTTGGCATTGTCCCTTCCTCCATCCTCCACACCTCGGTGGAAAAACGATCAAGTTTTAACTCTTGCAGCCGAGAGAACCCTTGGGAAGAGCAGCACATGGTCTGGCCTTTGTACCCACCCAAATGCAACACCACAAGACAGGGGAGTTTCTCCAGGATCGGCATCGGGTCTTGTTTTATGACTTCAGCATATAGAACTAGACGACGTACGCTTTGTGGGAACTCCGCAGGCAGCCTATCGAGCACATCAAATTTGACGAGACTAATATCAACCAGGTGAGCCATGTTTGCAAATATGTTGAGCACCTCCGCTGGTATATTGGGGTACATCCACAAGGCGAAGTTTGTTAGTTGATTCATCTGGCCCAAGAAAATCATCATGTCATGACAGCGGAAATCAGTGCCAGCATGACCAAGATGAAACGCAAAGCTCTGTATCTCTTTCAGCTGCAGTTGCACACTCCTTGCAGGTGGTGGTGGAGAAAATTTTCTCTGACATGAAAGGTAAACATGCCTTAGAGTAGGGATATCCCAGAGGGAGTCTGGTACTACCGATGACAAAAATGTGCTTCTGAGATCTATAGTCTGTAAGTAAAGGAGTTTGCCAATTGAAGAAGGGAACGCCACAAGTCCACAATTTGCCAACCTAAGCAATCTTATGTGAATGCACCCACCAATTACACTGGAGAAATCTTTTAGTGTTGAATCTTCAATGCAAAGAACTCTCAGGAATATCAGCTTAGGAAGGGACACTGATTTAAGTTTAAAGCCAAGCAGACTTCGGATATTAGACGTTGCAGGTAAAATCTCATCACTCAAAGTTTGAAAACTAAAACGATAATATATCAAGTTATCAGATGATGATGATGATGCACCAGCTTGGCCTGCAAATTTATTTAGAGTGCACCACATGTGAGAAAGAAGCTAGCCACATATGAAGGGCATATAGTAAAATAGAATGAATTAATAGGAAGAGACCAGCAGACGAAGCCTGACCTGCAGTTTTATTGATAGCATCAAGAAAACCATCATGTCTTGCTTCTTCTATGCACCAGTCATGTAAGATATCGTGAATCCTTATTCTCTCTATCCATCCATGTGCCGTACTTCTGCCAACAACTTGTACCAAGCTTCTTTGAGCCAACTCGGTTACATAATTACGTGCTGTTACTTCTAGTATATGCTTTGGTGTATGTGGAATGAAGCTTTCTGCTATCCATAATTGAATAAGGTGTGGCACAGATATTACATAATCCTCGGGAAAAGCAGCAAGATATAGTAAACAAGCTTTTAAATAATGATTTGGCAGGTCCTTGTAACTGCGAGCCAGTATGTCCCGCATGATCTGTCCATTCTTGGTTGATGGCCAATCAGAGAGTATATTAGACCATATTTGTGCATTCAGATTTTTTGATAGATAACCCCCCAAAACTGCAAGTGCAAGTGGCAATCCATCACATTTCTTTGCAAGCTTTCTCCCAAGTTTTTCAAACTCATCCACATCACGCATGACAGACCTTTTGTATGATGGTAGAGCTTTGCAACTAAATAGTTCCCAACTTTTCTCTTCATCTAACTTCTTCAAATGATGAACATAGGTTGGCATTTGGACATGATTTGCAACATCTTCCTTCCGGGTGGTTAATAGTACTCTACTACCATTAGTTGCATCTGGAAAAGCTTTAACCCTTTTATTTATCTGGTCCCATGTGTCGGTTTCCCACACATCATCAAGAACTATCAAGTATCTTTTTTGCAATAGAAAATCATGGATCTCCTTTCCCACCTCATACTCATTCATCTTAGCAATTGACTCATCTGTGCCCCCTATTATTTGTTTCATAATATCCTTTAGTAAATCAATGCCCTTGAATTTTTGAGATACAGTGACCCAAGAAACTGCCTCAAAGTGTTGTTTGATACTAGATGAAGCGTATACTTTTCTAGCGAGTGTTGTTTTTCCCGCCCCACCCATGGCAACTATGGAGACAACACTAAGAGTTATGTCATCTTTGTCAACTAACTTGCCAACTATTTCTTTGTACTCATCCCCAAAACCAACAAGGTCAATATCTTGAAAGTTTTGGTGCATAGTAACATAATCTTGTGGATGCTCATCCTCAATATGAACCTTTTCTACATCACTAGTATCCAAATTGATTTTCAAACGGTTTGCACTATCAAATATCTCACCGACCTTCCTTTTTACACGCTGTATTTCAGCACCAATTGTGTGAAGGGTAACCAGGTCACTTGGCAAGCGAGCATACCTGGAGATGGCACCCATGAAGCCCTTCTTGAGCCTGTTTCTCTTCTCCATGTAGTCGGCCGCTTCAATGGCATTCTCGGCCTCATATGCCGCATCCCTGATCTGGCTGACCCAGGTAGCCACAAGCTCATCTCCTGATCTCCTTTTGGCGTCGGCGGATTTCAGGTAGCTCTTTAGCCGCCTCAGCTCATCCTTCAAGAATCCCACTTCAAGGGTGACACCGCATAGGAATGTGGTCTCCTGGACGGCAAGGGTGCTCACGTTGCCAAGCACGGAGCCAATGGCCGACTCGGCCATTAGTTTCTCCGGGCTAGCTCTCCCTCTCAGAGATGGAATGCTTTGTATTTCTTGTTGCTTTGAGCTAGGTTGTATATATAGCAGAGCAGATTCAGCTCAGGATATGTATACGTGATGATGGAAATGAAGGAAGGAATATGGTGTGCTTCCGGGGAATTTTTCTCATTTTCTTTACCTTTGCTTTGACATGAAGGCAACGTATAAAGCAAAGAACCTCCCCACACGTTTGCTTGAGTTGCAGTTTTAGCATCATTCGATCCCATCTGCATGCAGCAGCCTTTCATCTGTTGGGGGCCATGGCCTTCTCGTGGTGGGCCTCATGGTCTCGTGAGAGCGATGCAGATTGGGCCTCGAGCACACACCAAAGCTATTGCTCCACCGCATGATGGATTCTTTGCTGAATCCTTACCTATAATGTGCTGGTAGAATGCTTGCTCTCGGCACTACCATTATAAACATGCCACTAGTGCCCAACTAAGCTGCTGCTTACTTGCTCAATGCAAAGTGCCCAACTAAGCTACGTAGTATTATCTGCTAGTAAAGCCACTAGTCTCTAGTACGTCTTTGTTGGTTTGGTTTGTGTAGCATTATAAATATTTCATAGATCGATCACAACGCTCTGAATTTATGCTCCCAAGGGGACAAGATTTGAATGAAAAATATGAATTCATAGAACAGGGCAGTTTTGCTGATCCAGAAATACTATTGCAAGTCTTACCTCATCTTTTTTTTTCGAAAAGGGGGGACTCCCCGGCCTCTGCATCAGAACGATGCATACGGCCACAAGTCTTACCTCATCTGCATCAGTGCATGGATGTTGTAGCAGTTGCTCTTTCTGAATACTGGCCTTTAATTTGCTCATTATCTTCCGGCACATGCATGGTGCAGTAATATCTTTTCTGAACAACATGCTTATGCCTGTGCTTTGTAGGTGTTGTTTTGCTGGAAATTTCAAGGAACGACCGAAAGAAACCTCACTTGATGCGACCGTTCATGATAGACTTGCACTACAAGGGGATCCTGATGGGGATATTACCATCAGCAGTAGTGATTCCGAGGTGTTCAGGTGGCATTTTCTCAAAGCATACATACGCTGAATTGTGTTCAAATTACATACATATATGACTGGATTTAAATTTTTGATCAATTTCTGTTGAAGCGCTTTAGCTAAATCTATGTCAGATCGATTATACATGGTTCCTTCTTATTTTAAACTTGCTATAATTTTGTAAAATCTTATGGCTCTTCTCGAAGTTCATTGCGATGTAGTTATACTGTGTTTTTTTTATGATGCAGGCGCCATGAAGTGGCTTTCCAAAGTATAAAAAAAAAGCTCAGTGGATAGCAGCGTATGTTTTTCTTACTGTCAATGGTCTTGTACAAACACCTGGGGATGTCTGTGAGCAAGACCACTGAAGCTGCTACTGCTGGTGGTGGTGTAAATTTTGCTTTAGCTGCTGTTGTATACGATTCCTGCTTTTCTTGGTCTGGAGTAACAAAAGGTGAAAAACTCAGCTAGATATATAGATGTCGTTGTGTTAGTATAAAAAAATTTGAAGGAAATTATTATCGACCTGCACGTATTAAATTTAGAAGGCCTGCTCCCTAAACTATGGCACAATTAAATCATGAAATACTCCTGCTCCCTCCTTCCACGTTTAGAACGCCTGCACGTATTTTTTTTTAAATCGAACTTTAATTTGATGAATAAACTATGAGTAATACCAGTGGAAACTAAACAAAAGAGTCCACGGATTGCACCAACGGAGATACTATTTATTCGCATAACAAATGGCAGTGATGACCAATCAAGTTTGACATGGAGGTATATATGAAGTTACTTCGGCACATTAGGTTTACGATGCAGTACACACAGAGGACTACTTCCGGCAGGAGTAAAACCCAATTATTTTGTACTGGAATGAGCAGCAGACTTGACCAATCAGCTGGCTAGCTGCCTCTGTGCTTTCAGATCCTGTGGCTTTGTCACTTATCCCATCCATATGGTGCACCTGAGACTCTTCCCCTGCTGCAGCAAGTTGAATGCCGTGTTGATGTCCTTGAAGGCAACTTGATGAGTTATGAACTTACCCAGCTCCAGCTCCTGTGTTGTCCAAAAAACCAAAATACATGGAAAATTTTCTGAATCGAAACCTCTCGAACCTAGACCCGATTATCAACAATATGCATGATCAGTCTGATGGGCGTCACCTTGTTCAGGTTCATGTCGGCCAGAATCGGGATGTCCTGCTTAGGTTTCACCCCTCCGAAGAGCGATCCCATGACGCATTTCCCATGGAGTATCTCCCGTGAAGGTAGGGTGAAAGCGCTGGCATGCATTTCCACTCCAAGGATGATCGTCTTGGCCCACCCCTGCATCGGCAACATTCCAACATCGGAAGCCAAGTCAGAAAGTGAAAGTCATCTTACCGGCGAATGTGTGTGTCAGTGTGTGTTCTTGTGTGTGCATACCGCCTGAGAGCTCCGGAATGCATCGCTCATCAGCGCAGCCAGCCGGATGCACTCGAAGCAGTAGTCATCAGGCTGCAGGTGAAAGTGGATTTAAGTGGGACTAATTAGCCCATCCCACTTAAATTGCTTCAGTGGGATCCCATTGGATAGGAGAAAAAATAGTCGGGCTATCCCACTTAGCCCATTGGAAGCCTGCCTTGCCCTGTTAGCTAGCCAATCCTGATAGTTTCTCCTGCACTAAGGAATAGAGCGGGCGCCGCAGCGTGAGCCCCCGCTGCCGGTCATGCCGCTGCTGCAACTTGTTCCCACCGCCACCGTCGATCAAGCTGCCGCTGCCGCCGCACCTCCTGCTACTTCCTCCTGGCACCACGCCGCGAGGTGTAGCAAGTAGCTTCTTGGCCACAGCAAACAAGTTGCCGACCATCCGTTGACTGAGATGTAGCAAGACTTTCAGTACAGTCCTGCTACACATACGACAACTTCTATACGACTTTTATCAGTTATCAGTAGCCATCCATTCAATTCGAGAACTGCTACACGTACGACTATTTTTGTACGATGTACGTACGACAGTGGTCAGCGGCCGTTTGATCAGTTGGACGGACGAGTGATATCATGTCGTACGAAAATCGTACGCACTGTTCATCATATGCACAGCAATTTCGATTCAATTCCACGTACGAGTGAGATCACGTCGTACAGAAATTATACGCACTTCTAATCAAGCAATTTTGCTTTTAATATACTAGTTTAAGGTCCTTTAGGACACACCGTTTTTTTTTTAAGAAAAAAGAGGTGCACATCGTGGGTCAGCTTGTAACAAGCTGAGGACAGGGTGGCTTGGATTCACCCTGTCCCCATCGTCCATTAATCCAATCATCAATGGCTTCCTACAATATTATGCGTCCAAGGCAAGGTGAAAACAAAGAGAATCAAGGGCCAAGAATCCAATCAGTCAAAACATGGCTAACTCGGCTGGTTAGCCAAAGTCGGGTAGTTTGTGAAAATTAATTCTTGGTCGGCCACTGGAGAAGGGCTGCCGTCCGGATGAGAAGATGCTCCGCGGCTA